GGAATGCCTGCACCAATACAGTTCCCAAAGCAGAGGCCCAGCCTTGCCCCTGGGAGCCCTGCCTTTGCCCACTCTCTGCCAGGAGGACAATGGGGGGACAGAGGTTCCCAAGGGACGGGGAGGTGGCCCAGCCCCTGAGCAGAGCTGCTGGTGGCTTTACCTTCTGGCAGGACTCCAGGAACTCCTCGATTGTCACCACGCCATCCTTGTTTCGGTCCATTTTCTGCAGAGAAGCACAGCATGGCAGGGACAGACCCAGCCCCAGGGAGAGCCCAGCATGCCCTGCCTGGGTCCCACAGGGCCTGGACACAGCGTACCCCTGCCCCAGCCATCTCCAAGCACCGGGCAGGACCTGGATGGCCTTTTCTCTCCCTGGCTCTAGCACAGCCCTGCTCCATCCTCAGCGTGGGGGGTTTTCTCCTGCACTGTGCCAGGTTTTGGGCACCACTGGCTCCATACTGGAGCTCTGCTCCCCCAGGATGTGCTCAGCTCACCTGGAAGAAGTTCTCCACGTGCTCCCGGGGTGCTTCCTCCCGCATGGCCGGGTAGGTGTATTTGCCCATCATGTCATAGATGGACTTCATGATGTCCAGCATTTCCTGGAGGGAAAGGGGTTGCAGGGTTGACACAGGGATCTGCCTCCTCCTGGTCCCTGACCCACACCCTTTTCATGATGCTCCCAAAGGACCTGTGGGGTGCTCAGGTGTGTTCCTGCTGGCTCTGTGCACAGTGTGGGGCCATGTGTGTCCCTGCAGGTGTGATGGAGCCCCAAAGCAGCACACCCCTCATCCACCCTCCACCCTGGAGACACAACAAAACCAGGAGGGACTGTTTGCAAAGCTGCGCTCAGTAAAAGTTGACCCACCCCAGCTCTCCTCCAGAGCTCAGCCAATGCCCCCAGGCAAACCTGCGCTGGCCCCAGGGAATCATCCTGGACCCCCCATCCCACCTCTTTGGTGATGCAGCCATCTTTGTTCAGGTCATAGAGGTTGAAGGCCCAGTTCAGGCGATCGTCAATGGTGCCCCGCAGGATGATGGACAGCCCAGACACAAAGTCCTGCAAGGATGGACAAGGCAGGCAGTGGGGGGTTACGGCCACAAAGGGTCTCATGGACACAGAGGGCACAGCCCTGCTTGTCCATTCCACAGAGAAGGAACTCAGCCCCAAAGCAGATGTGCCCCAGGGCTGGGCTGACAAGGGAATCGTTGAGTAGCAAAAAGAGCCTGGGGAAAACCAATCAGTCCCCAAATATGTCCCACACTAGTTTCTTGGGCCACAGCATCTAAGACGACAATGTGCATCAGGACCTGCTGTTCAGCCGAAGCCTAAACAAGACCCAGCCATGGCTGTACCTGCCTGTCTGGGTACCTACAAAGACACTAGCCAGAAAATAGAGAAAGCCTCCTTTTTTGTTGGTTTCACTGTTTTCCCACTGCCTCTGGGAATTTAATGAATTCCACCTGCCCCTGCAAAGCTCTCCATCCATCTGCAACAGCAACGCTGCTCAGCCCAGCCCATGGTGCTTGAAGGGACATGCCCTCCCTGCCCCACTGCCATCCCCTCCTCGGCCACAGCTCACCTCAAAGCTGACGGAGCCGTCGTGGTCTGTGTCGAAGGCGTTGAAGAGGAAGGTGGCGTACGTGCTGGAGTCTGGGGGAGGCAGACAGTGTGAGGGGGTGCTGTACGATCCCCCAGCCCGGTGGAGGCACCCACACAGGGCATGGGGATGGGGACGGGGATGGGCACTCACCTCCCTGTGGGAAGAACTGTGAGTAGATCTGCTTGAAGTTTTCTTCATTGACGATGCCACTCGGGCACTCCTGCCAGGGCAAGCCACAGCGTCACCTCCACATTGAGAAGAGGGGCTGAGCATCCCCCTAAATCGCTGTGGTTCCCTTGCCTTGCCCCCCAGCCCTGCGCTGCCTGGTAAGGCTGCTTGGAGCATCTCTCTGATTTTGTGGGCTGCACCCCTTGCTGGAGGGGCTCTGCATCCCAGCCACCCAGGGAGGGGGCTCTCTGCACCCAAGGGATGGAGGCCTCCCAGTGAGCTCCCTGGAGGTGGGATCAGGCCGTAGCCTGATATAAACTTCAAAGCCAAGGTCCCGAAAGCCTTTGTAAACCCTAGGCACCGCCAGGTGCAAAGGACCTGGGGTGGACATGGGAGTGGAGGGGGGCTAGCAAAGCTGACCAACGAGTACTCACATTCTTGAATCCTCGGTACAGGACCTGCAGCTCTTTGCGGGTGAACTTGGTCTGCTCCTGGAGCTGCTCCAGCCCCTCGGGGCGGTGGCAGACGGTAGAGAGCTCAAACTCATCCTCAACGCTGTCTGCAAGGAACCCAGGGGAAGAGGGCGGCTGAGGCCAGCACCGCCCTGGGGGGGCAGGAGAGGCACCTTGCGCAGCACGCCCCGTCCTCTCATACCTACCCAGGGTGACACGTTGTTGGGGTGACCTGCTCAGCCAGAGTTGGGTCTGTGCCCCCAGAGGACACTCAGAGACACCCTGGGGGCAGACCAGAGGCTGCCACTGGGCAACAGCCCACCCCAGCCTCTGGTACAGCCCAGGCTGGGCAGAAAGGGGGTGTGAAACCTCCCCAGTGCTGTGACATGCCCCCCCACCTGCCCTTCTTCTCCCCCTGGCACAGCCCTGTGGAGCCAAGACCCTGGACATCCCGCAGGTCTGTGCTGCACCAGGGCTCGTGAGCAGCAGGAGAGCTGCCCCCCAGAACCTGCAGCCCCAAATGCCTCCCAGCCTTGTCTAGACCCCGACCTGCCCGCTGTGCCCCCCTTTCATTGATGGCTTCTCCCCACCATCTGGCAAGCTGCATGACGCCTGCCTGCAGCAGCCAGCACCCCCAGACCCCACTGCAACCCAAGAGGGACTGTGGCCCCACAGTGGGTACCCCCTCCCTCCATGGGGCAGATCAGCCCCTGTCCCTCCATACTCACCTCTTCTCTCAGGGGGGATCAGCTCGCACCGTGGGGCAGGGAGAGACCCCGGCCAGGGGCTTGGACTCATTGAGGGGCCAAGTACACCCGGTGCAGCGGTAGGGGACTCTGGGCAGCTCTGCGTTCACTCCCTGCTCAGCCCCTTTCACCCCCCCATAAAACCTCCATCTCCAAACCGACACTGAGCTTTGAGCAACAACCCCCCAGCCCTTAAACCAGTGCCGGGAGGGTCCTGCTGCCCCGAGCCAGCTCCAAAGTGGGTCTTGCTGCTGTGCATCCTGTGGGAGCTGCTCCAGGGAGCTGGAGAGGGGGGAAAAACCAGCCTGAAAGCAGGCAAGGACAGAGGTGGGTGCAGAGCCCATTGCATCGGACCCCTCTGGGGCAGGACTGATCCTGATAGCCCCAAACCCAAGGCAGGGGAGTGGTGGAGGCATCCCCTTCCTGCAGGCAGGGCCAGGGAGGAGGGCAGGCAGCAGCACCGCTGGGGACACACACACACAAAGGCAAGAAGAAGCACTTGCTTTCGCTGAGCGAGGGGATGGATTTGGGCCGGCAGCAGGGCAGCAGTTTGAGGAATCGCTGCTTCAGCGCTTTTTTAGTTTGGCCCGGCGGGTTGCCTGGAAGAAAGAAGGAGTCACCAAGCAGAAGAAGAGTTAACAGAGCAGCAGCCCCTGGACCCAGTGGGCAGCAGGGTTGGGCACCCGGCGTGGGGCGAGCGGGGCCGGAGGCAGCACATGCAGCATGAGGCTGGAGGAGCAGGAAGGCAAAGCCCAGCCCAGGCTCTGCTCGGCCTTTCTGCTTCATCCCAGGACAAACCCGGCACTGGAGTTTCCCTCCTTGGGAAGGATGAGGATGGCAAAGGGGCAACCCTGCTGGGCTACCCACACCCAGCACCTCTGCTCTCCCCCATCAGCATGCCAGGGTGAACTGGAGACATACAGCAGCCCAGAGACCCAGGAGATGGCAGGGCTACCCCCTGCCCTTCAGCCTCGAGGCCGAATACCTGCTCTCTGGGGACCCTCCCCTCCCCGTGAGGCTGTGCAGGGAGGAAGGGCAGGATGGAGCCCAAGAAACAGCTTGCGGCTGAGCTGGAGCATTGCATCCTCCCAAGAGCTCGGGGCCGGGTTTGATCCTGGTGGCACCCGACGGCTGAACGCGAAGCACGCACCGAACCCAGCCATGCAGCCTAGACTGCAGCATGCACCCCCGTCCCAGCGCGGCACTGGGATCTGAGCCTGGGGACCTGCTTTGCGACAGCCAGAAGGGGAACGGGGCTCAGGGCTTTGCCTCAGCCAGGCTATGGGGCAGGGTGAGGGGCTCCCCACATCAGCCTGGCCCATGGCCATCACTTCCAAGCGGCCCTGCATAAACAGCAGGTCCCCTTGCTGCACAGACCCCCCTGCCGCCCTCTGTTCCCCCATCCAGACCCCAATGGCTTTGCTCAGCCCCATCTCTCCCTGCTGGTGCTGCCCCACAGCTGCAGACCCGCTCCCTCCCTCTCCGCGGTGCCTCAAGCCAGCAAACACAGTGCAGGACTAATGCTGCAGGTGGGGAAGGGAGGAAGAGGAGGGGATGAAGGCCATGCTGGGCTCCAGCCCCCAAAGGGAGGCAGACAGTGGCAGTGGGCACTGATGGGATGAAAGGTGCAAAGTCCCTCTGGGGCTCTGCTGACATCGCATTTGCTCCAAGTGCCCTGGACATCCGCACGCAGCAGGTCACAACGCCTGCGCATCCTGAGCCCTGGTTTGGGGGTTGTTTCTCCAGGGGGGTAGCAGATGGAGCTTCTTCGGCAGCTTTCTCAGCCTTGTGGGGCTGAGCTGAGCCCCAGGTGCTGGGGAAATGGTGCTGCATGGTATGCAGCTCCAGGACCTGGAGGGGGACGTGGGTCTGCAGGCAGCTCCATCACTCTGGGGCTGCAGAACAGCTCCAGGAAGCCATTGCCCCAGCAGGAGATCACACAAAGCCACTCCGAGAGGGCAAACTTGTCCCCAGGGAAGGGGCATCCACAGCAGGGTGCCAGTGACATGCAGATGCATAGGGATGCAAGAATGCAGCCCCCTGGCATTTGTCAGGGACAACAGAGACAAGGGTGAGAGCCATGATCTTGGTGCGCCAGCCTGGTCCCTGTCTGCTCCAGGGTTCACAGGCAGGTGAGGAAAGCAGCTTTTTCCTTCCTAAAAGAGGGAGTCAGTTGCGCATAAAACATGATTTTGGCCCACCTACTTTTCCAGGGCTTTAATTTGCTTAGGGAAAGGGAAATTGCACCTTTCAGCCTTCTAAGGATGCCCTGGGGCCAGGTCCCTGCAGCAGAGCTGAGCTGTGGGAACAGACCTGGGAGACAGGAGCAGCCCCTTCGCCCAGGGGGAAGGGACAGGATGGGCAGAGCAACACCCAGCACCAGGGTGATGGACCAGGGGAGGGAGTAGGGTGGGAGGGAAACCACACAGCTAGAGAGATGCAACAGAGAGTAAACTGTGGTTGGACTCACAGGGGCAGCAGGTATAGGCACGTGCAGTAGGTCAGGTCGGGTGCAAGTTACACTTTAGTTTGTTATAAAGAAGGAAAAAGAAAAAAAAAAAAAGAATATGGGCGTTTTCTTGAGGAAACCGAAGAGGGCCCGATTCCAGGGGCCCCAGGCCAAGGGAGGGAGCATGTTCAGCACGTGCAGCTTAACAACAGGAGAGGGGTGACCAGGGCTGGGGTTTTGCTGTCCTGGCTTTGGTGCGCCTGAGGGCTCTGCTGGGAAGGACACCGTCCCCTTTCAGTTCCCCAGCATCCATACTGTGAGCAAATCTGGGGGCTTCCTGGGTTCCCCCTCACCGGGAAACAGCTCTGCCCAAAGATGGGGAGCAGAGCCCAGCCACACGCTGCCCCGCTGGGCACATGGGACGTCCGCAGCACAAAGTCCCGTCCCTATCAGTGACGGCTTCTTTTCCAGATGCGTTCTGCCCTCCACCCCTCGGCACAAGCCATCAAGTGGCTGGCACAAAACAAGCCACCTGGAAGGGCTGGCAGTGTTTTATCTGCGGCAGGAGGTCCCCTGGATTAAGTGGCTTGTCCCCTCCCATGCGTCACTCCGCAGCCCAAACGACTTCAAAACACACGCGAGCACAAACCGAGCCTCCACCCTTGGACAGCACCAAAAGGGGAAGGTATTTCCCATCCCCACCACTGCACACTTTTGAAATGAATCCTGGACGTTGCTGGGCACTGGCTCTGAAGGGACCCACAGCGGGTGGATCCCAGGCCCCAGCAGTGACCGCCACCAGGACAGCCATGGACCACTTTGTACTGAGCCACCAGCAGCTGATGTGTCCTTGAGGGCTGGATCCAGCCAGTGCTGCCCTGTCGGGGGGTTACATGGTGCTGGGCTGACACCCCTTCGCCAGGGAGGACCCAAGCCTGAGCTGCTCGTGGTCTCCCCAGAGAGAAAGCAGGAGCCAGGGTCAGCCCAATGCATAGCCATGTCCCTGCCCCCCCACCCCCACCCCAGAGCCAGAGCCACCAGTGCCGTCCCAGTGACGGCTGGGCGGGGGGGCC